CCACCATGCCCAGCTAATGTTTTGTATTTTTAGTAGAGACGAGGTTCCACCGTGTTGACCAGGATGGTCTCGATCTCTTGACCTCATGATCCACCCGCCTCGGCCTCCCAAAGTGCTGGGATTACAGGCGTGAGCCACCGCGCCTGGCAATATATTTATTTTTTTAAAGTTCTTTGGTGGACTGCTTTACTGGCATTGGGAGCAGAATAAGGAATCTAAGTCACTTATATAAGTGGGACAAAAAAAGGTTTCATGTATTTATTTGGGAATGTTTGCTGCATTCCAACACATCAAACTGGTAAAGCGTAAACTGATGAGTGGCAAGGACCAATTAAATTTGAACCTTGAATATAAACTACCAAACTCGGATGTGCTGATGAAAATAGACTCATGAGTCAAATTATCCCTGTTTCTCAGTACTACAAAAAGCTTTTCTATTACAAGAGTGCCTTCAGGAGCACTTTAGCATGAAAATGTTAGTTGATATGCAATGTAATTTTAATTTTATAAAGATTTTGTATTTCAGCCAAAAGTTTTTGCTTTTTTTAAAATAGTTTTTTGTTTTTGTTTTACTCTATTGTTTGAGGAAGACATCTTTGTATTAGTTATACTGTATTTCCTCTAGCAATATGCTGTCACTCTCTCTCCTTGGCCAAAACATAGCAAAGAACCAAACAGAGGCAAAGGAAACTAACTGATGATTGGCTGCATGGGTAATTTTGTTTTCTTTCTTTTTTTAAGACAGAGTCTCACTCTGTCGCCCAGTCTGGAATACAGTGGCGTGACCTTGGCTCACTGCAACCTCTGCCTCCTGCTTAAGTGATTCTCCCGCCTCAGCCTCCTGAGTAGCTGGGATTACAGGCACGCGCCACCACGTCCAGCTAATTTTTTTGTATTTTTAGTAGCAATGGGGTTTCACCATGTTAGCCAGGCTGGTCTTGAACTCCTAGCCTCAAGTGATCCACCCACCTCGGCCTCCCAAAGTACTGTGATTACAGGCATGAGCCACTGCACCTGGCCTGTTCTGTTTTCTTATCATAACTGAATGGGTATTTAATTTTGAGTGAGGAGTATTTAAAATATTAAAGCAGACCATGAGCATCTAATGGCACAGACAAACCCTAGCCTATAATCATTTGTCAGCCCTAATGATAAAGTATAAGGTAAACAGTTGTTTAGGAATTTTTTTTAGAAAAATCAAGCTAAACCCTCAGTGTTCTCTTTGATCAGATTGCCAAGTCTCATGGATTTTTACCTCTTCCTCATTTTTCTCCTTATCTATTCCCACTTGAGTACAGACTAATTCCTTCTCACCTAACCCATCTAAACAGACCTGTAACAAGTCTGTTTGCTCTCTACCTAGCTATCACATGCAAATGTGTCCTACATGCTAAATGCTTCAGATTAAACTTCCAATATATAACTCCAAGAATGTAATTTCTTTAATCCAAAGCTTTAGACTCTGCATTGTTCCCAAATAAAGTCTAAAATTCATAGCCTAAAACTTAGGCTACTTTTTTTTTTTTTTTTTTTTTTTTTTTTTTTTTTTTTTTTTTACTACCTTGTCTCATATGATTCTCTTGCTAAACTGAATTACTGGCAGTTCCTTGACCACCTTCTATTCGATGGTGCTGAGGTCCATGTCCACCTTGACCTCCTAAAAGTAAACTCACTGTTGACAGCCAGTTCAAGGGCTAATGCTGTGAAACCTCCCTTCATCTTCTCAGTCAAGACTGTCATTTCCCAATACTGCCTGTCATTACTTCAACTTCATCTTGTACTGTAATAATGTGGGTATGGTCCGTTTTTCTGACTAAACTGTGAGCTCCTTGAGGGAAAGGTTTCTCAGTGTCTTTTATAAGGTGGATTACTCAATATACATTGAATACATAAATGATGTTCTATGCCACTTGCCTTTGTACCAGTAATGACCTTAAAATGTTTACAGCTGATGCTTAATTACTAACTTTCTTAGAGGACTGGGTATAATACGGAATTGGAAGTCAAGAATTTATTATCGCTATTGGTATAGCATGTTTGGTAATATAAATGCTTAAATGGGCCAAGCAGGTACCAAATAAATAAGTGGATCATATGAAAAAAAAAAAAACAAAAAACAAAAAACGGAAAGTGGTGGGTACTGTGATGAACTAGAAAACACATTTCTCTTCTAGGGGGATTAGCAGCCAGGCCACTCAATCTGGGGCCCAGAATCGACAGATCTTCCATTTTGTTCCAACAGAAACCAGAAATGTGGACCTTCATGTAAAGCCTGTTGAAGTTTAAACACTGGCAGCCAATGAAAAAATAAAAAACACTGAGCAAGCCAAAGCAAATACATCTGCTAAGACTGGATTTGGCCTGGAGGCTACCACCAATTTGCAATCTCTAGTTTAGGGCTTCTTCTTGTGGCATTTACTTTAAGCAAAACAGAAATCCATGGCTGTGGCCTTCCTGACAAGATTAAGTACCTCCTGACATACAGAATTTCCCAATAAAGAGTTAAATATTTTGTTTCCATGTGAGAAGTGCACTTGATATTTCTCTATTGATATTTTAAAAAGTTGTAGGCTTAAACATATTTAATTTTACAATCTTTTCTACTGTGTCACATAAAGAACAAGTTACTTAACCAGTTTCTGTGACTAGATTCTTAATCTATAAGATGGGGGGGTGCAACACAGATAACTTTTATTTTCACGTACTTTTATCAATTATGAGAGGCCAATACAATTACAATTCTACTTTGGAAGGAGTATTCAGGATTGCAATAGGATGTCCCCAGGGAATTTCTGGTTTCAATTTAACTCTAGAAGATTAGAATTGTCCCTTAAATATCTCCAGTAGGGGAGACAATCAGAAAAATTTAAGGCCAGAAAAGTTTCATAATTTTACTACAGGGAGAACTTGTATAGTATATTGTGAATGTACCCTAAGATGAGCCCTAGGATAGTCACAGAAATAGTCCAGTCTACAAAGAATGGTCTAGACCAGAGGTGACTGTGGAATAAAGCTGGAGAGAAGAGATTTTTTTCAATCTCTAGTTCACAGTGCCTATCACTCTCTATATCTCTAATATGAACTGAACAATTTTCCCTAGCTTGTTAAATATATAACACATAGCTAGGGCTCCAAGGCAGGGAACCAAGCCTATTTGTTCTTATTTCTATTGCTGACTTTATGCCATCATTGCCTAGTAACAAGTAGTTACACACACACACACACACACACAGGGCTAGGTGTAGAGGCTCACATCTGTAATCCTAGCACTTTGGAAGGCTGAGACGGGAGGATCACCTGAGGTCAGGAGTTTGAGAACAGCCTGGCCAACATGGTGAAACCCTGTCTCTACTAAAAAATAAGAAAAAAAAAAAATTAGCCAGGTGTGGTGGTGCGCCTGTAATCCCAGCTACTTGGGAGGCTGAAACATGAGAATCACATGAACCCAGGAGGCAAACGTTGCTGTGAGCCGAGATCACAGCACTGCACTCCAGCCTGGGTGACAGAAACAGACTGTCTCAAAAATAAATAAATAAATAAAATATATATACACACACGGACACACACACACACACACACACACACTTATATACATACTCTTACTCTTCAATTTAGGATAGCAAAGAAATATTGAACCATCATTTGATGCCCATAATGACAAAAAAAACCTTTTTTATTTTCAAATATTAGAGCAATTTGGACATAAAAACAATCTGAGTACTCAAAGTTTGTTGAAAAGATTTCCAGAGTTTTCCTTTTATTATCTTAGACTGGGTCAAGAAGGGTCTCCTCTCACTTCAATTAAAGATATGTAAGACAGTTTAATATTTCTGTTGCCAGGCAGGTAAGGAAATAAACCCTCACCTCCTTTGAATAGGAATGTAAACTGTTCAGGGTAGATGCCTGAGCCTGGGCTCACAGCCTCATTTTTAAGCAGCAGTTGCCTTAGCATTCTGTTTTGTGTACCTTAAAATGTAGTTCAAACGCTGGACTTGCTAAGGACAGCTTTTCTTACTGAATGCTTTTATCAAAAAGGAATTTAGCTTTATGCATACATGAAATGAGGAGTACCTCCCTCAAAATAAAGAGAGAAGATGCAAAGTACTTGTTAGGAAAATAGTCCCCCAAAAGAGCCGTGCTAGTTATTGTCTGTAACTTTCAGTTCTATTTAAATCACGGAGTAGCCTATGGACAGTCAGCAATCCTAAAAGCAGAGGCTTCAGTATGAATGGGGGAAGAGTGCATGTTTTCTGTTCTGACCCAGAGTAAGACCAGAGATCTATTCCAGGTGCAAAGGACTCTAAGCCCTCACTCAGTGTCCTTCTTGGAGTTTCCCCAAAAGGCCGTTTAATCTTCAAAGAGTTTAAATCTAATACTGTATCTGGGAGAGACAGGGTATGAAATAAGAGGCTAGAGATAATTGGTGGAGACAGTTTACAAGCACTTCCAGGGTGTTATCTTTCCAAGGTGGGTTTATTGCTCTGAAGGGATATAAATTCCTAGCATTTAGTTATATGTACTGAATTCTACTCTAAACTGAACATAAATAACTTTTGGATCACTGGACACTTTATACTGCTATATCTGACCATAGCTTTCTTTCCTACTTATAAGGAAGGATAGGAAAATTACCTAGAAATATTTAAAATGCCATCAATCCATAGCTTTCTTAAATGTCCATGGCCCTAGTGGCTAAGCCAGCCATCAAAATTAATCTAGTAAGTTTTTTATAAGGCTAGTCAAGTGATGTTGTGGGAGCAGAGAAGGAACAAAGAATTCTGTAACTGGCTGTGATCAATTGATTGTAACCACAACTGCATTTAGACCAGCCCTACTATATATTTGAAGTGACATTTACAGACATTAATATTCCTTTAAACTGGCTAAGTACGTGCTCCATTTTCAAAAGCTTAGAGGCACAGATTTATCAGATATAGTAATCATGTAACATAAACATGTATACTGAGACAAAATAGATATTGAAGAATTAATCTCGAGCTGGGAGGCTTGGCAAAAAAAAAAAAAAAAGAATTACTTCTGGATTGATTTTAGTGTAGAAAGAGTAATATCTGCTTTAGGTATTTAAACAAATACCTCCAAAATATAGCACATGATCCATAACAGAGAAATACTCAAACAGTTAATAAGAAGAGAGTTTCTGAGTATTTCAGGGAAAATTTTTATTTACAGTCTGTCTGACAGGAAAAAGATAAAACCCTAAACATCTGAAAATGCAGATATCCTAAGTAAAACAATCCTACTGCAGAGAACTTTAACTAGTGTGTCACTTTGGTTTTTGTAATTCAATACATATTACATTACAAATTTAGAGAAACCAGAAGATAATGATAAAGGACTTAAGTGGGAAATAATGGATCATTTCTTTAAAGAAGAACACATTGTGGATTACATATCAACCTTCTGTCATCTTAAAAGTTTTGGAAGATGTTAAGAGGCTCTTGAGACTGGGGAAAATTTATAAATATTTCAACCTTAAAGAATCAGATTGGTCCACTGAACAATCTTAACATCATTAAAACAGAGAACAATAGATACCAGATGCAATATGATGCCACAGGAAGTACCACATGCCACTTATGAAGTGTGTTTGCCAAAAAAAAAAAAGAATTCTGAATCTAATCAAGGCCATGGACCTAATTAACAGTTTATAGAAAACTGGAAGACATTTGAACAAGTTAATGACATCATGAGGATAAGATATAACCAGAAAAAAAACAGAATATAGGGAATTCAACAAAACAAATGACTCAGTTTCTTCAACAAAAAAATGACATTTTAAAAACTGGTCAAGGGGAATTCTTACAAATTAAAAGAGTCTTAGAAGACATCCTAACTTAAATCAACTATAATAAAAAGCATTAGAAACAACCGAATACCAACTAGATATCAGAAATTACTGTTACTTTGTTAGGAAGGATAACAGTATTGTGTTCATGTTTAATAAGTCATCCTCTGTTAAAGGCAGGCTGAAAGTTTATGGATGAAATGATAGGTTGCCTGGGATGTACTTTAAAATATTTCCCCTAAAAGTGGGCTGCTTAGATGAAAAAATTGGCAAAATGTTAATAATTGCCAAAGCTGGCAGAAGGATACATGTAGGCTTGTTTATACTATTCTTGGGACTTTTATGTGTATCTAAACATTTTTGATAATAAAAAACTTCTTACAAATGGGTTATACATGGAAGAGTAAATTTTAAAAAGTTTTTTTAAAAATCAGTTCTTACTACTTTGCTTGTGTTGCACACAGTACTTTAGTAAAACTATTCTTGATTATTAGTCTTATTTCCCTATACCAATAGATGTGGACAAGTAACAGGATATTTTTTCACGTAAAGATATAGTCTGTGAGCATAATTTCTATTTTCTAACACCTTCAACTTTGTATAAAGAATCTTGTATAAAGAATTGGGAAGCTGATTTTGTATAAAGAATTGGGAAACTGATTTTGTATAAAAAATTTGGAAACTGATTTTGTATAAAGAATTGGGAAGCTGATTTTGTATAAAGAATTGGGAAGCTGATTTTTCAGAACTGAAAGAACTCAAAATAAGTTTGGCAGGATCTGGGAAGAAACTTGCTTCAGCTCTGTCATCTGCTGCACAGAGCAACATATCTGACTTCACAGGATATTTTTGGAAGCCAAGATAACTTCCTTAGGATGTATGCCACATAAAATAACTCTACCCAGATAGATTCAGACATGCCAACATCCACATAGCTACCACTAGAACTGTTTAAGTTTAGGTATTAAGGGAATTTTTAAGAAGTAAGGGAAATTTTTCTAAATCCCAGATAGGTTTTTTTGTTTGCCAAGTTCCTTTTATTTCTTTTAATCTTTCCTTATTGCATGCCTGTGTTGGGCTAACAATATGTGAATACAGAATGTTTATGCTTTGATTTTTATACATTTAGTTGTTAACTAACAGTTATTTATCTGTTCTGACATAAGCTTATGCAAAGTAGAACTGGTTCTTATTACTTATATTCCCTTTTTCAGTTATAAAAGTATAAAGTACTATAATATATCTACACACATGCATAAAGATAATATTATATTGGGGATATTTAATTATTATTATTTTTTTTTTTGAGACGGAGTTTC